GGACTGTTTTGTTTTGTGAATTTCTCTGTGTCTTTGAATTAGTATATCAAGAGTGTATGTGTGACTATGATGCTTATTTAAAAAGAGCAATGTTATGATGCATCTAGTATTGGAACCTAGATACAATTGTAGATAGGAAGCAAGGGTCAGCTGAACTAGAAAAGAACCTATTTAAACAGAATGCACCTTGTGTTTTCTTTTGTAGTTTATCTTTTTTTCTCAAGTTAATCATTATATTGCATTAGAAAATGCAAATAATATATTACAGAATACAAATAATAGCTGAATCCATTTATTTATATAATAGAAACAATAAATTGTGATAATTGAGATAAATTAAATCCTTAAGGTGAGGAAAAGATTTTTTATTGATATACAGTATAATTTTTAAATGATTTACAATGTTTATAAACATTTAGATCTTAAAAGCTATATTGTAACTATTTGTATTTGCCTTGGTATGTTGATTTATTGTCTGTATTGTAACAACCTGCCTCCAGAAGCAGTGAATGCTCCAACACTGGAAGTTTTTAAGAAGAGACTGGACAGCCATTTGTCGGAAATGGTATAGGACTGTGGTGGTGAACCTATGGCACGGGTGTCACAGGCGGCACGTGGAGCCATCTCTGGTGGCATGCGAGCCATTGCTGGGCTCAACTGCTCCCTCCTCCTCTCCGTGCATGCGCAGTCTGGGAATAGGCAAGAGTCTATAAAAGAAGCAACTCTCTGCGGAAGCAGCATTTGCTGCAGACAGCTTGAGAGTGAGCATAAGTCGGAGCAAGCAAGCATGAGCTGACAGCTCAATGGTCATGCCCACTTGGTGGCCATGCTCACCTGGCACCTGGTGATTCATAAGTGGGTTTTGGGTTGCAGTTTGGGCACTCGGTCTCTAAAAGGTTAGCCACCACTGGTATAGGGTTTCTGCCTGAGCAGGGGATTGGACTAGATGACCTCCAAGGTCCCTTCCAACATTATTATTATTATTATTATTATTATTATTATTATTATTATTATTATTATTATTAGAAACCATACTTGCTTAATTTTGATTAAACTTCTGTTGTGAATATAAGCTGCTAGCTTTGCCATTGCTGTATGTTTTCCAAGTTTTCCAAACGGTATTGTTGAAGTTGTATCTTTCTTCTGATGCTGGGTAAAGTTAATACTCACAGCTGTGAGCAGAATGTAACTTCTTTGCAGGGATTCCTGGCATATGACTTCTTTTAGTGAGGTCTTGAGAGATATTAAACTTAACGGGCTACATGTTAAACAGATAAATGTAGTTAAACAAAATAAATACAGACTATCTCAAGACAACAGCTTATTGAGGTGGGATAAATAATGATGCATCCAAGAGATGAAAGTTACGAACCTCTTCGATGAGCAGCTCAAAATAGTAGTCAGGGTATATAAAAGATGCAAGTGTAGACAAACAAGAGGGAGCTAGATATGCAGAAGGGAATATGATGTGGGTTTTTTTACTTTTTTTTTTTTACAAAATTTACAAGACTGCCTGGGAAAATAGACTCAAAATTTATGGGTCCTTTACTAGTTACTAAGCAAATAAACCCAGTAGAATTTGATTTGCAATTATTAGCATCAATGAAGGTTCACTACATATTCCATTTACTTCTGCAAGAGACAGACCCCTGCATTCTGAGTTCACAGATGGCTCCAGTTCTGTTCTGTGCATTGGTAAGGCATTGAGACGAGGCAAGAGTAACAACAGTTGCTTATTTATTCAATCTCCAACAGAACAACACAAAATGGCACGGATACCTTTTATATCCCCTTACATCAACCAATCAATGCAACGTATCTTTCCCACCTGGGGTGCATGTACAATAGGCTGGAGACAGCCTGTCTGGCCCGGGCAGGCATGTGGTCTGCTCGGGCCTCTCTGTAGCTTCCTGCACCTGCTGTGTCAATCACAGCCCAGGACATAACAGTTCCCTTTTCCCATACTGGTAAATGTATGGAAAAGGGAGGAAAAGTACAAGATGGAGGTGGTGCTAGAGGGAAATGAGATGATTACTTGATACACTGGAAAGTTATCTAGAGGCTGAGAAGTCATAGTAGGCAGCATGTACTTGTACTGCAATTGGTGCACTGCTTTCATAACCAATACCCAAACAAATCCGATTCTTGATAACTACTAGCCTTCCAGGATTAGGCATTGGCCAATATGAGCATGACAATTTATTTTATGAGTAGACTGGAGGACACCTCAGGGATATCAAGTTGGGGGACATGGAAGAGACCAAGTAGTGGGCATGGGAAATAACTGAGATACTTCCACATTAGGCATACAGGTTATGGGGGAGGGGAAAGACAATCAGATTTACATTGAAGAGTGGCAACGACCTCTACAAGCACAGTTACTGGATACCTTGTGCAATTTTGGGAGTTACTGACAGAAGATAGGAATGACTCAACTACCACTTCAATCTCACAGCCCACAACCAATTTTCTCTGAGAACTTGAGAGAGGCAGATGAGTCTGAAGGGGAGGGTGTATGGGTAAGACATTGGGAGACCAGGCAAAGAGTTACTGCCTAAGAAATGGTCAGATAAGAGCGAGCATAGACCACAGCTGCATAGAGGGTGGAGTAAGTGGCTCAGAAGGGACTTGGGTTGTAAAAATGTCAGCAAGAGAATTTTACTTTCAGACTTCCAAGATTCTGCTAATGTAGCTTTACAGTAAAGTAGAATTAGATTACTGGATTTATGTTTCTTGTCTGGTCTACCTGGTTATGGCTGATAGAAAATAAGAAGGACATATTAAGATGGAATAAATTAAAATTGTCACTGTTGAGGAGAATCTTTATGAATATTTTGCCAAGAATTATGTTTTTGGTTCAGACAACTGATGTATCATTTAAATAATGGGAAAAAGATATATCAAACTTTATATAGCAGGGAAAAACACAAGATAAATATAAAGTTTAACAAACTGAAAATGAAAGAGATGGGCTGGCTTTTACTGGAATTCTATTTTGCTGCTCATTGTTTGGTCTCGATGAAAGAGTGAGATTTTTACAGTTAGAAAGTCATAACCTGAAATTTGGGTGCCATGATATTCATAATATAATGAAATTAAAATTAACGTGAACTTTAAAGAACATTTTATTATACGTGCTATATTGAGAATATGGAATATATAAAAACCTAGGTTTTGTCTGAAAGCACTTTTATAAATCTCAGCTCAAGAACATATCATAGAAAAGAAACAGTAGACAAAGACAAATGTTGACATACTATGTATTATTGGAAAATTATCAAGGCGAATCAAGAGAGAAATTCGTAAGAGAAGGATATAATTGGTAATGACTTTCCCATTTCCTTTTATCAGAAAAATGCAAATTTGATAACAAGACTTACAGTATGGAGCAAAGTAAGACAAAATTCGTTCAATTATATAGTGAAGATGGGCATGTAAAATTCCCTCCCCACAAGCAAAGTTGCAAGGCTCCTCTTTTATTGAACTCTTTTATCAAAATGAAAATTTATTTATCAGTTTTAAGTGTACTTGTATATAGCATGATTTGTACATAGCATTCCCTGATAAATTTAATTTTGCCAGTTGAGCTCACAATACTTGTTGATGTCATCAATCCATCTTGTTTTAGATCTCTTTTGTAGACACTTTTTATCAAGTGGGATCAATTATATGGCTGCCTTGGTACACCGGCCATTAGTTCTTCTTGCTATGTAACCAGCCCATTTCCATCTCAATTCTTTTACTCTCTTGATAATATCATATATTTTTGTTTGTTACATGCTCTCATACAGCATGGTAATAGACTCAGAATGTGACATAAAAATGGAGAAAACACTAGCCTTAAATAGCAATTGTTATAAAAAAGAAATGTTGATTTAGGGCAATCATGTGACTTCTTTCTAGTATGTAATAAATATGTTTATTTAAACTTGCCAAGTTGAGTGTCTAAGTAGTTTCTGCTGGGTTTCATCCAGGGAGTCATCATTTGACTAGTCATAGTGTAGCTGGAAAAGGTATGGTAGCTTGGGTGGTAAACAGATTTGCTTAAAAAAAAATGGATCCATGAATCCTATCAGTAAGATGATCCTCTTTTTTTTTTTTTTTTTTTGCTAATTTGTATATTTTATTACTGGTTGCCAATTATTTTAGAACAGTGGCTTTCTGAAAACAGCATGAGCTTAGTAGAGAGGCAATTAAACATAATAACTTTTCATCTAATCTAGAAATCATGAGTGTTTTATAATGACTACCTGTCAAGCATCTTTAAAAAAATAGAATTAGTTTTAAGCACATATTGAAGGGTCTTGAACATTAACTTTGTTTTGAAATTGTACCCCATTTTGAGAGAAAGCCATCTTTGGACATTCTGACTTAATATTCAGTATAATAAAGAAATATTTTCCAGATCTCTCTTTCCCTTAAAAATATTCTTTCATTCATAAATTGATTTCTTTGAGGTTGGTTCATTTAAAAATGGCATTTATTAGCCAGATTGGAATAATAAGTATTTACACATGAGAAAACATTTTGTCACAATACTATAGAGAAATAAAACTGTAATTATTGCAATTTTCTCTCCATATATAATTGACAGTACTATTATTAATTCTAAATTCTGGTTGCACTTAAAGCCCTCATATGGAATATTATGCAATAGCAAGAATAGAATTTAGTATTTATGAACAATCTCTGGCTGTTCCCATTCAGAGCTAGACTCTAATTATAGCTAAATGCCATGAGAATAATTCCTGGTAATTAGAACTTGCTTTTCAGAGTTTCAGAAGAAATTAAGTATTGTGAGGAGTGGGTGACTGCATAGTTCCTTCTTGTGTAACCTTGAACATTCTAAAGCTTTATCCAACAAATTCTATTAGGGACATATGTTTGGCATAATTATCTTGATAGTTTTGCTTATATTCTTATCTGATATGGTTTACAAGTCTGACATGAAAAATTGCAAGGTTAATGATCCCCTCCCTATTCTTCACAATTATTTCCAGTCCGGTGATCTCATCATGGGTGCTATTACTTCTCTTGTCCTCATGCCTCCAGATCCAGCTACCTTTACTGAAGATCCCCATCATTCATTTATAAGAGAACCCATGTAAGATTTTTATATAATAATGTTTAGTATTCCATATTGTACTATAACAATCCCCAAAGCAATAGAATTAGTTACGGGGTGAAATAAGTAAATTTTCCAGGTGAGCCATTAATGAGATGATTATTTTTTTTTATTCTTCATTTTCACTGGACTTCTGAAAATAATTATATTAGCTGATTTATTATTCCTAGCACAGAAATAGATTAAACAATGAGTTTGCTAATTGAAGTTTTTCTCACTTAACTAACTGAATGGATTTGGTATAGGAATAGCAGTGTTTAAGGAAAAGGCCAGCAATTTTTATTCAAAAAGAATTAAAACAAAGATGTACTAAAACTTGAAAAAATGGTTAGTTCTAAAAATGGTTTTTATATTAAAACCCTATTTTTTATTTATATTATATATTATCTCTTCATGCATGTATATTTACTATCTATTATCTATAATGATAAAAAGTGATACTGAAAGGCATCTTAGACAGTAAAATATTTATATTTTTGTTAAAAATTAAAATGTATTTTAATACATATTCGGATTAATATAAGGACTGTTAGATTAATATAGATTCTTAAAAACATTTATAGTTCAATAACAATAAAATGGCACACCTCTCTATATATAAAAACATAGATTAATGACATTATTTGGTACCTTCACATGGCAAATATTTTAATTATGCCTCCACCTTTCAAGACCTTATCAATGGGACTGCAGCTATTTAACAATTTCACTGCACTGAACTCAAAATGCCAGCAATAGGCAGAAAATATAATTAGTCATCAAGTTGTCTTTCTTAAGAAAGACTGTGGGACTTCAAAATGCATATCTTTCTCTTCATCTACTAGAATTACAAAAGCAAAGCAAAGCAAACAAACAACAGTATAGAACCTCAAAATGGCAATGGCCAGAAAATGTGACTTAAACTTAGAAACAAGGCAATATTATGAGAAATGTGAACTAATCCTGTGTCAATTGAGTGACATTCTGATTTTGTGATAAAGTGTATTCCATTGGCATGACAGATAAAGCGTTGCATTCGGAAATAGAATGGTTTGATGGATCATACATTTGCTGCAATACTTTTTGTTAGATATAGAATGTATCTTATAATGCTTTTTTTATTTCAGAGTCCAGACTAAATTTTATCAGCATATTTTAGCTTTAATATTTGCTGTAAAGGAGATCAATGAAAACCCTCAGATCTTGCACAACATCACCTTGGGTTTCAATATTTTTGACAGCTATGATGGGACATGGACTTATCATGCCACAATGAACCTTTTTTCACCATTGAAGAGAATGATCCCAAATTATAAATGTGGCTTTCAGAACAACCTGATTGCAGTCATTGGAGCTCTTTATTCTGAAACTTCTGTTTACATGGGAGATATCTTGAAAATCTACAAAGTTCCACAGGTAAGAGGTGTAATGAGTCACGATATCATATTATGTCATATTTGATCTTTTTACATTTCTGTAACTTGGAAACCTTATAAGAATAAAGCATATAAGTCAATAAAAAATAAAATAAAAAAAATCATTGCAAAAAATAAGTCAGTAGTGTAATCATAAAATATTCAGTGAATTAAAAGTGGAACTATTCACAATATGCAAGATTAATAAAAAAAGTTCATAAATCACATTTCCTGGTCATAGATATAGTAAAATATTTTTTCTTAGAGAGAAGCTAAGAAAAAAACCTTCATTCTTAAACAGCAGCATCTAATTATATTTCTCACATTTTTTTTCTTCAAGTTATAGGATTTTATTCTAAAAAGGAAGCTTCCTGAGAATTTTTTAATTACAGAAAAGGCTAAAATGCTTATCTGGAGATGATAGATAGATAGATAGATAGATAGATAGATAGATAGATAGATAGATAGATAGATAGATAGATAGATAATTTAAAAAACCACAAAATGTAATTTTAAATTGTGTATACAATGATATTTTTAATTTAAATTTAAATGTTAGGAAATTTTAGTCCACCAATTATTTCCATGGGGAGAAAATATTAATTTCCTTCCAATCTCTAAATTTCTACTTCTTCTTTTTTATTTTTACTTCTGTAGATTATATATGGATCACATCCAGAGATGCCAGATCAAAGTGAATCTTTTTCCTTCTATCAAATGGTCCCTGATGAAAGTTATGAATACAAAGGTCTGCATCATCTACTTTTGCACTTTGGATGGACCTGGGTTGGGATTCTTGTAAAAGAAGATGACGATGGAAGATTTGTGAGAATGACATTTTCAATGTTTCCTGTTCATGGCATTTGTATTGCCTTCCTTAAAAAAATAAGACCAATTTATATCAGTAGTATTTCTGAGGATCTAGAATGGCTAGCAGAAATATATCATTTTTCAATGAACAACAAAGCCAAAGCAGTAATTGTCTATGAAAGAACACTTCTGCATTTGAGGTTACTACTACACCTTCCTAAAATGGAACTAGTGTCCTTAGAGCCTAAAGGTAAGGTGTGGATCATGACTTCCCAGATGGATCTTGCATCAGTGTTTTACCAAAAGAACTGGGATATTCAAGACATCCATGGTTCCCTGTCCTTTTCAGTTCACTCCACTGAAATTCCAGGATTTCAGGACTTTGTCCAGGCAAGACACCATTTATCATCAAAGGAAGATGGCTTTATCAAAGATGTCTGGGTACATGCATTTGACTGTTCCTTTCCCAGTCCTTTGGTGAATGATAAAGATAGTGATATTTGTACTATGAAGGAGAAACTAGAGGACCTGCCTGGGACTTTTTTTGAAATGAGCATGACTGGCCATAGTTACAATATATATAATGCAGTATATGTTATAGCTCATGCTTTTCATGCCCTGCAGATTGAACAAAAGCAAGAAAGAAACCTGTACAGAGGAAAACAAAATCTTCAGACTCAGCATCCATGGCAGGTATAGACTTGAACTGTCATTCTTTAATCTATTCGGTGTCTTTATAGATGTGTATAGATCACTTCATTTATTCAATAAATTGATGTTAGAGTTATTATACTTCGGATTTCCAGTACAATTTCATAGACATACAAATTTACTAAGATACATACAAATTTCTGCACATTTCAGGAATCAGAAATTGACATTTTTCCTATTTTTGAATCTCAAGCAAGTTCCAAAATGGTTTTTAGTAGTTTAATGAAATACAGTGAAAATACCTATAAAAAAGCAGAATATGCACAATTATAAAATCAAGACAAAATTATTGGTAAAAATAGTGCACATTCAGAAAAATAATATATCGAAAATCAATTCAATTGGACAATTTTCTATAATATAAGTGGACTATTATGTGGCATTTGATTTTTAAAAGATCCCTAACACATTCTAAAACTTGATTCATTCAAAAGTCTGCCCCAAAAAAGTAATACCCAAGCTGAAACCTTAACCTATTCTCTCTATCAGTTATATCTCAGTATTCCATGATGATAGCTCTTTCATAATCTGAAAGGTTAAAATTGTTTAATAGGAAGTTGCACTCATGAAAATTAAGAACTAGATACCCATCTATACTTGATACCCATCAAGTTTCCTTAAGCTTCTTCTAATCTTCTGTGAGGCTTCTTACAAAACAGATAGTCCTGTCAAGCCAAGATATCTATGCTTTCAGAAATTATTCCATATTGTCAGTTTTCATTAGAAGACAGGAAATGTTTCATTTGATATGCATTAAAATGTTAGAGTACTGTAGACTTGGAACCATTTTTTATGAAAATGGAATCTTTAAGAAAATTGTAATGTTGTTCAGAGAAAAATAAAACCCTATAGAATATTGGAAGTTTCTTAATGAGATGCTTTTACATATCAGGGAATTTTATTCATTAATGACATTCTGACCAATTTTTGTGTATTATTTGATCTTCAGCTCCACCAGTTTCTAAAAAGCATTGCATTTAATAACAGTGTTGGGGATGAGATTTTGTTTGATCAGAAGAGGGAACTGATAGTTGGATTGGATGTTATCAACTGGGTCACCTTCCCCAACCAGTCCTTCTGTCGAGTGAAAGTTGGGAAACTGAATCCCTCAACTTCTGTGGGCAAAAAGCTCATCATTCACAATGAAGCCATCACCTGGCATGGAACTTTCAACCAAGTAGGTTCCGAATGTAGATAATTACATCTGATGTTATTTAATATACAGGTGGTCCTCGATTCACAACTATTCATTTAATAACTATTCAAAGTTACAATGGCACTGAAAAATATGACTTATGACATAAGTCCTCCCACTTATAACCATTGAAATATTCCTCACAAAACTGGGTGCCTGGCAATTGAGATGTAATTATGATGGTCGCATCCCAGGATCATGTGGACATCATTTGCAACCTTCCCAGACAGCTTCTTACAAACACTCAATGGAGAAAGCTAGATACACCTAATGACTGTATAATTCACTTAACAACTTCAGTGATTTGCTTAAAAACTATGGGAAAAAAGATTGTAAAATTGGGCATGATGCACTTAACAATCACCTTGTTTAGCAAGAGAAATTCTGGTTCCAACTGGGGTCATAAGTCAAGGACCACCTGTATAAATAAAACATAAACATACTACATCTATGCATAAACCTGAAAAAAATTGTAAGCAATGACACCAAGGGAACAAGTGACAGAAGTGGCCAGGAAGTCCTTTGCACACCATCAGGTGGTGCACCAGTTGCATCCATACCTGGATTGGATTGCCCTGCTCAAAGTACCTCATATCTTGTAACCTCTAGATTAGACTACTGTAACACACTTTACAAGGGGCTGCCCTTGAAGACCATTTAGAAACTTCAACTGGTGCAAAATGCAGCTGTATGGACAATAATTGGTGCCAGATATATGGCACACATAACACCACTCCTGAGTCAGCTGCACTTCTTGCCAGTGTGTTCCCAGGTGCAATTCAAGGAGCTGGTGGTTATCTATAAAGCCCTACATGGTTTTGGACCAGGTATCTGAAAGACTGCCTTTTTTCTATAGTCTTTCCCCATCCAACCAGCTAAAATAGAATGGACATGCTGCACATTCATCAGACAAAGAATGTTGGTTGGCAGGGACTAGAATGTTAACTTTTTCTGCAATGGCCCCTGCTCTGGGGAACATCCTTCCTTCGAATATTACAATGGCTCGAAACCTGTTAGCCTTTCATAAAGTTCTAAAAACCTGGTTATGCTCTTGAGCCTGAGGTGCTACACGTGCCAAGAACTGTGCCTCCTGGCTAAATGATTAATGGGCCAGATATCTTACTTTTATAGGTACTTCAATTTTTTTTTACTGCTTTAATGCTTTTTACTGCTTTTATTGTTTTAAAGTATTTTTTAAATTAATTGTAATATATGTTTTAAATTGTGAGCTGCCCAGAAATTTGCTGAAATGGGCATATATAGAAATCAATAAAACAAATTGTATGGTTTCTACATGGAAGCCTTCCCCTCACATGGGAACTATGATGCAAAAAAAGGATTTTACAATAGTGGCAAATATCTATAGTTTAGGTGTAGGATGAGGGTGAAGGTTTGTTCTCTGAGCTTGTGGGTTGATTCCTAAATGTTTCATTACCAGGGTAGGTAACATGTTACCTAGCCTGTAACAAAACCTTCAGAAACCAACCCACTAACTCAAAGAACAAACCTTTATTCTCAAAAAAGATTATTTTTTGCTTGTGACCTTTACTTCTAAAATCTCTTCCGTGTGTACATGTGTAGGTATGTGTTTCTTTGTATGATGTTTGTCAGAAAAATATTGAAGATGCTGTGCTAAGTAATGTATCTACATGATTTACAGAAGTTCAGAACTGTGGAATCCTTGATGCTCTCTGAGCTTGGTTTTTTCTGCAGATGTTTCATTACCCAACTATGTAACATCAGTATGCCGTGAAGATATTACCTAATTGAGTAAGGAAACATCTATAAGAAAACAACCAAACTCCAAGGGCAGCAAGAGAGAATTGAACTTTTCTAAACGTTGCCTGCTACTGTTACTGAGTTTTTAGATATATCAATTGCTTGGTAAATTGGTTACTTCTTCATTGTAGAATCAGTAGCCATATGATATTTTATATGTACATGTTCTCTATATGCAAATAACCTGTAAGAATGCTAATAGATTTATTTTTTTCTTATTTCTGGGCCAGACACTACCTATTTCTCTGTGTACTGAGAGCTGCCTCCCTGGTAATTTCAGGAGAAAGCAGGAGGAAAAACAATTTTGTTGCTATGATTGTCTTCCATGTCCTAAAGAGCAAATGTCAAGCCTGATCGGTAAGAGACATTATGAAATAAAATCTTGTGGATATATCAAACAGATCCACCAACACGTAAGTATGGAAATTGGCTTATATTATTTCATTGGTAGTCCTCAACTTACAACCACAACTGACTCCAACATTTTTGCTGCTAAGTGACACAGTTAAGTGAGTTTTGCCCCATATTATAATCTTTGTTGCCATAATTTTTTAGGCCTATTGGCAAAATCAGGTTTTCAGGATCTTGTGAAAGTGTCAAAGTGGAGGCTAGGGAATGGTGTTCCAAAGTGAGAGAGCCATCATGGAGAAGGCCCTTCTCGGTCCCACCAGATGTACCTCCTTAGGAAAGGGAAGATCAATATTCCTTGTGTCCCTGCTCTGGTGGGTTGGGTGGATGTAATCATAGAGAAACAGCCTTCAGATAACCTGATCCCAAGGCTTTAAAAGTGACAATAAGTACCTTAAATTGTACCCAGAAGCAAATTGGCAGCCAATGCAGCTCCTGCAGGAGAGGTGACACATATGAATACCTGGCCTGCACAAAACCATACAGGTTTTGAACCAATTGGAGTTTCCAGACACTTTTCAAGGGTTGCGCCATGTAGAAGTACCAATGACAAGATCCAATAAATGTATTTGAGAGTTTTTTTTTCTTCCAAAAAGTTCTAAATTATGAATCAAAAGCAAAAATAAAATCTAGGAAAATCATGTGTTTTTTTTTACACATATCTGCCTAAGATGGTGTAATACAAGAATATTATCTACAATTGATCAACCATCTCTGAATTCTGCCTCCTCAACATAATATTTTCATTTTCCTGTAGGTTTTGGAATTACATTTTAAGTGTTTGCTCGATCTGTCCAATCAAATTCTTCTTCATGCATGGAAGTCACAGTTTAAAGCTTTGCATATAGACTCTAATAAGAATTTGAATAGAAACAATATAGAGATAAAGTGGATACTTATTTTGGTCATTTTATCAGAAAGTCATATTAATAGAGTCTTTGGAATTAAAAAATATGCTATTAATTATATTTTATCCCAAATAATTAAAATGGAATTTATCTGATCCCCCCATTATTAGCCTCCTAATTTTCATTAATTGACCAGTATCCCAAAAGTTGGAAGACAGCCATAGTAGTATACAAAGACAAACTGAAAATTTTGGTGCCAGCAATAGATGAAGGAAAGACACTGAAAAATTATATGTGATAAGAAGAGTAATGGAATTATAATAGAGGAATAACAGATTATTATTATTTAAAAAAAATTCTTACAGACATGGATGATTGTTCTGAATGCCCAGAAGACCAATATACAAGCATGGGCCAAGATTCATGTATTCCAAAGAGAATATATTTCTTATCCTATGAAGAACCAATGGGAATAAGTCTAGTTATTTTGGCACTCCTTTTTTCCTTTTGTACAATTTTGGTGCTGTCAGCATTTTTGAAATATCACCATACTCCCATTGTCAAGGCTAATAATCAAAATCTCACCTATGTTCTACTCATCTCCCTCCTCCTCTGCTTCCTTTGCTCACTGCAGTTCCTCGTTGCACCAGGCAATATAATATGTCTCCTCCGACAAATTAGCTTTGGCATCATCTTCTCAATGGCTGTATCTTCTGTGCTGGCTAAAACCATCACTGTGGTTTTGGCTTTCATGGCCACCAAGCCAGGATCAAGAATGAGGAAATGGGTAGGAAAACAGTTAGCCACCTCCATTGTTCTGTCTTGTTCCCTGATTCAAGCAGGCATATGCATTGTGTGGTTGTTCACATTTCCTCCTTTTCCAGATATTGACACCCATTCAGAAATTAAGGAAATGATACTGCAGTGCAATGAAGGTTCAGCTACCATGTTCTACTGTGTCTTGGGCTACATGGGCTTTCTGGCAGCTGCCAGTTTCATAGTAGCTTTTTTCTCCAGAAAGCTTCCCAGTAGTTTCAATGAAGCCAAATGTCTTACATTTAGCATGCTAATTTTCTGCAGTGTGTGGCTCTCCTTTGTTCCATCTTACCTGAGCACAAAAGGCAAATATATGGTGGCTGTGGAGGTTTTCTCCATTTTGGCCTCTAGTGCTGGGTTGTTAGTTTGCATATATTTCCCCAAATGTTATGTAATAATTTTTAGACCAGAACTAAACAACCGGGAGCAACTAATTAAAAGACAATATTAATAATATAAATAAAAATGTGTATTTCTATTATTTCTCATTTTCAATATCTTTTCTTTTAAATTTCCATTTTTAATCATTTATATTTGTATATTTTGGAATCTTTTGTCATGCATTTATTGAATACAAAGTTCTTGGAAGTTTTCTACCTTAGAATATGTTTTTACCTTAGAATAGTTTCACACATTTTTTTCCCAATATTGTATTAAGTTTTATCAGGGTAAGAGAAAACAAGGATAATTATAGGTAGTGGAATTCGGGATAGGGTTCAAGGAAGGGATTGGAGTAGGGATGGGTACAATGATGGAGTTGCCCCCAATAACATTCCAAGCTTTAGCAAGCAAACTATTGTCCAGATACAAGTATTTGACAGGGTTAATTAGTATCATAATAAGTAACAGTAGTCAAGAAAAATAACAAAAGTTATAAAACATATCAGTTAATCAAAAGGAAAGTCAATCATCTTAATAAGTTTCACAAGCAGTTTTTGTTAACTTGTTTTGCTAACCATTGATAAAAAATTTCTTCTTTCTCTTTAATCTTTAATGTTAATCTGTCCATTTCTGCACAATCGAGAATTTTCCTAGTTATAATCTCATCAGATGGTAAATCTTCATTTTTCCAGTATTGGGCAAATACTATTCTCGCAGCTGTCAATATATATAATATTAAATACTCATTCTCTTTCCCATAATTACATCCTAGTATTCCTAACAAAAACAATTCTGGCTTAAATTCTATCTCTGTTTTAATCATCTTTTCCAGCCATGTCTGGATCTTAAACCAAAAATTCTTTGCACTAGGACATACCCCCCAGATGTGATAATAGGTACCTGGCTTTTGTTTACACTTCCAACAATTATTTGAAACAATTTTAAACATTTTTGCTAACCTTACTGACGTCATGTGCCATCTATAAAACATTTTTATAGGTTTTCTTTATATGAAATTGCTTTAGTCAATTTAATATTTCTGTCCCGTAACTTTTGTCAAGCTTCTAAATCTATAGAGTGTCCAAAGTTTTTTGCTCAAACTCAGATAGTTAGATAGTTTCACACATTGATGCTTTCCTTCTCCCATTTTCTCCTTTGCCACTAATGCAAAACCTTTCTTGTTTCCCCATATGGCTCCATTGTAGTCTGATGTGATAATGAAAAATTTCTCTTGAGCTTTACAGCACTGAAGCATCAATGTTCCTACATTACAACTTGTTATTCTTCTACGCTATTGTTAGATGAACAACCATAAACATTATTTAAATGACTAAATAAAATAAATCAGTCTAGCCACTATATGCATCTGTTAAAGTGAGATGCAGTTCATGAAACCTGATGCCTTCAATAAACTTTATCCTATTAAGCTCCTTATAATTTGCTTTTTAAACCTAGTTGCTTCTCTGGCCTTAGGAAGGTGGGACTTGAGAATGTGGGATTCTCATGGTGATGCAACTGTCACATTGTCAGGTTTGAGGCAGTAGATTTAGTGGATTCCATTAGGGCCATCTCTGATGAAATATATGAAACTACTAGGGGTAATTATCAGAGAGAGTTGCTCTAGATTCCATATAGATGCAAATGACTGGATGCATATTCCAAGTGGAATACTGCATCCAGTTCTGGTCAACACAATATAAAAAAGATTTTGAGACTCTGGAATGAGTGCAGAGAAGAGCAACAAGAATGATTAGGAGGCTGAAGGCTAATACATATGAAAAATGGTTACAGAAATTGGGTATATCTAGTCCAATGAAATGAAGGACTAGGAGTGACATGATAACACTGTTCCAATATTTGAGGGGCTCCTACAAAGGTGAGGGAGTCATCTTTTTTAAAACACCAAAAGGCAAGACAAGAAGCAATGGTTGGAAACTAACCAAGGAGAGAACCAACCTAGAGCTGAGACATTTCCTAACTGTGAGAGCAACCAACCAATGGAATAGCTTGCCTTCAGAAGTTGTGTGTGCTCTATCACTGGAGACTTTCAAGAAGAGACTGGACAAACATTTGTCTGAAATGGTATGGGGTCTCCTGCTTGAGCACAGGGTTGAATTAGAAGAGCTCCAAGGTCCCTTCCAACTCTATTTTCTATGTCCTATGACTCCTTGTTCTTTGTCTTATTTCCATCATTTTCAGAGCAAATCTTCCCCATTAGGGGTGGATTTTTCCTAAACAACCAAATATGCAACTTGGGAGTACTTTTCAAGATCATTAGATCCCTGAGGTTTAGATCACCACATTGATGAAAAGTGCCTGTTCCCAGCTATTACTAACAAGGAGATTCCATATGGAATACATGTGAATTATCTCACAATCTTCCTTTGATCCAAGCAGATTGTATAAACCAGAATCTGCCTTCCAGCTGGTATTCTAGCTGTGATGTCTCTCCATTCTGTCAGAAAGTGTCAGTCTTCCATAATCTCACACTGGAAGCCTTCCAGTAAGTTCAAGGGTGGGATTCAGCTGGTTTGCACCAGTTTGGCAGAACCAGTAACTAAATATTGCTGAGTTTGGAGAACTGATTGAATGCACACTGCTTCTGGAAGTCCAATCTAGAACTCAGAGGCCTGGAGGAGGCCTTCCAGGTCTAGAATGGCCCAATGGAAGTGCATGGATGTCACTTCCGGAAGTCCGTTTTAGGCCTTGGAGGCCTAGAGGAGACCTCCCGGGCCTAGAACAGGCCAACAGAAGTGCATGGATGCTACTTCCAGAAGTCCATTCTAGGCCTCAGAGGCCCAGGCCTGCAACCAATAAGAGAACCAGTTGTTCAGGTATTTGAATCCTATCACTGAGTAAGTTATAGCAAGTTGTGTCAAGAATGTGGTGGCCAGTGTCTGTCCATTTTTTTTTCATGTAAGCATGGGACACCAGTTTTGACAAAGTTACACTAATTTCCTATAATTGCCAAGTCAAATTCAAAATGCTTTTGTTGAAAAATAAATCACTAAATTCTTGAGCCTTCTCTATTGAAAAGAATGGTTTCTCTTGGGTTGTGTGATGACCCATGGCCCCGAACGGAGGCAAAGCAGTTGGCTTTAATCACTGCCAATGTTCCCCAAAAGCTCCCACTTATGCTGGCAAGAGTTCAAACATAGCACACATACACGTTCCTTTCAGCTGCCTCTGGCTAAAGGCAATTGCAATACAGCTGGGTAAGTTTACAATGTTCTCCAGGCAAGACAGATAACATGAAAACAAAACAAAAACGTTAAAGAGTCCTTTTAACTCTCAGCTTGCCTGCAGTCTGCAAGGAGAGACTCAGAAATGCAGGCTATTGTTGTGAAGCAGGAAACCAACCAGTCCGGAATTCTAAGTGTCCAGGTTAAACAAAGACAAGAGCACAATTCATTATCTCAAGATACCACATTTATTCCCAGCAAATGCCCCATCCCACAGCGTCTCCTTAAATCTTAATCCCCAGGTGTGCCTTGTGGAGTGGGGCGGGATGCTCTCCTCCTGAGCAACTGAGCCTGCCTCAGTTGTTCTCTCCTCCTCTCTGATCTCCTTGCTCTAGGATGGAGGGGGCTTAGTCTTCACCTGGCCTCCCTCAGCCTGCTCCTCCCTCCTGGGCCTCAACAGAAAACTCCATATCTTCCTTAGATTCAGGCTTGGATGGAGGCATGACAGGCTGGGCATCATCTAGTATAATGTTCCATTTGTTAAAGTTTACAGCTCACCCAGGGCAAAAATAAGCTCAAGGATCAAGCACATGTACAAAAAACTAAGCTGGAGACATAGTATAGAAAAAAACTTTTTATCTTCAAATATTTAAATATGATACATACATAGTTTCCATTGGCAACATGGTAGAGAACAACAACAACAACTAACACAGGAGATCAGGACTCAGGGAGAGACTAAACCACCCCCAGAGCTAGGCTGGCTCACGTGCTTCTCACAGCCAATCCTATGTCTCAATTAAATAACAGTTCCCATTGGCTGGTTCATTGCTATGGCTATTCCAGTTCATAAGTTCTTACACACTGACACTCCTCCCTTTATAGACATAAAACCAAATAACTTAATACTCTTCTCATGGTGCACTCCACTCAATGGCTTGGTCATTATATCTGCCAGATTGTCATTTGAAGAACAGTGAAGCAAGTGAATTAGTTTACTTTTTATGGCTTCTCTGACATTACAATACTTAGTGTCCACATGCTTGCTTCCACTTTTCACTTTGTCACCTGTTGCCATTTTAATGCAAGCAGCATTATATTCAAATACTGTTACAGCTTCTTTAACTTCTATATTTAAATCCTTTAACAGCTGTACATACCAGGTTACCTCTGAATAAAGTTCAGACAGAGCAATAAATTCTGCTTCTGCAGTAGAAATAGCTACAGTTGTTTGTTTTCTGGACTTCCATCCAATTAAAGTCCCTCCAAATAAAATCACAAACCCAGAATTGGACTTTCTGGTTTGCACATTATTGGCATAATCACTGTCAACATAACATTTTAACTTTAACTCTTCAGAGACTTGTATTTCAAGACCAAATTCACAGTTCCCTTCAAATACTTGAGAATTCTTTTCACACCCATCTAATGCAACTGTGTTGGTGCAGCAATACACCAACTGCACAACCTATGTTTGGTGGACCATTGTGACAGATATAACAGGCTTCCTATTGCTGACTGATATATCTCCTGATCACAGGTTTCACTTTTGTCCTCACCTAAAGTGTTGTGAAAATCTATGCTCATAGGTGTTGGAGCAGAATTACAATCCCTCATATTGTATCATTCCAACAGCTGTTCAATTTTCCTTCTTTGACTGAGAACGTAGCCACCTTTCTCAGTTGTTTGTATTTCTACACCAAGATTGTTTTGTATTTCACCCAGACTTTTCAATTCAAACTTTTTCTCCAGCTGATTAGCAAATTCCTTCACCTATGCTAGATCCTTTGCAATGAAGCAAAGATAATTCATAAATGCTAATAATTGGCAATCCCCACTGTGAAATCTTGCAGTATATATGCAACCATCAGCCTTACAACTCTTGAAC